GTTTTCTCCAGAGATCTATTGTATTCTCCTTAACTTTCTTATTTTTTGGTTAGATTTATCTAGTTCTGAAAGGGGAAAGTTGAGGTCCCCCACTAATACGGTTTTAGTATCTATTTCCTCCTGTAACTCATTCAACTTCTTCAAGTTTAGATGCTATGCTGTATGTTTAGTATTGATAAGACTTCATCGTCTATGATACCTTTCAGCAAGATACAACTTAATTCTTTATCTCTCTTAGAGCTGTTTTTACTTTTGCATTGTCTGAGATCATGACTGCTACCCCTGCTTTCTTTGCTTCAGCTGAAGTGTGATAGTTTCTGCTTCAGCCCCTTACCCTTACCCTGTAACTCTCTGCTTCAAATGTGTTTCTTATAAACAGCATATTGTAAGATTCTGAGTTTTAATCCACTCTGCCATCTGCTTCTGGTTTTTGGGTGACTTCATCCCATCATGGTTTTAACTGTGTATTTCCTTCCATGCTATTTTTCCTTTTTTTATATCCTCTGTTCCCCAATAACCTTCCCTTTTATCAGTCCCCCTTCCCACTTCTATTATCCCTGTCCCTTTTTACTTCCTAATAGGGTAAAATAGATTTCTATATCCAACTGAGTATGTTCCCTTTTTCAGCCAATTTTGATGAGTACAGGCTTGAGCTTTGCCCCGCCCCCACACCCCATTATAATAGCTTTTTCATACCTGTTATATGGGATAATTTACCCCACCCCCCTTTTCCAGTGGAATTCTTTCTCACCCCTTTATTCTGTTTTTGGGGGTATCATCCCATCAAAGTCACCTTATATCCACACTCTCTATCTATCTACATATACTCCTTCGAATTGTGCTTATAGTAATAAAGGTCTTAAAAGTTACAAATATTACCGTGCCATATGGAAACATAAACAGTTTAACCTTACTGAATTTCTTTCCTTTTTACCTTTTAGTTTCCCTTGAGTCTTGTATTTGGAAGTCAGAATTTTTATTTAGCTGTGGTCTTTTAATTAGAAATGCTTGAAAGTCTTCTATTTTTTCCCCTGACTGTATTCAGTTTTCCTAACTCTTTTGTCTTCCATTATATCATATTCCAAACCCTGTGGTTCTTTAATGTGGAAGCTGCCAAATCCTGTGTAATCCTGACTGTAGCTCCACAATATCTGAATTGTCTTTTAGACTGCTTGCAGTACTTTCTCCTTGATCTGTGAGCTCTGGAACTTGGCTGTGATGTTCCTGAGTTTTCATTTTGGGATGCATTCTTTCAATTTCTATTTTGCCCTCTGGTTCCAATATGTCAGGGCGGTTTCCTTTGAAAATTTCTTGAAAGATGTCCAGGCTTTTTTTTTTTTAAACCATGGCTTTCAGGTAGTCCAATAATTCTTTTATTATCTCTACTGGATCTATTTTCTAGGTCAGTTGTTTTTCCAATGAGAAAGTTAACATTTTCTTCTATTTTTAAAAAACTTTTTTGTTTTTATCATATGTTGATATCTCATAGAGTCATTAGCTTCCACTTGCTCAATTCAAATTTTTCAGGAATTATTTTAATCAATGAGCTTTTGTATTTCCTTTTCCATTTGGCCAATTCTATTTATTAGGGGGTTATTTTCCTTGGTAAATTTTTGTGTATCTTTTCCCATGCCATTGACTTTTTTTTCATGATTCACTTGCATTATTTTCATTTCTTTTCCCAATTTTTCTTCTTCTCTAATTGGCTTTTTTTTTTAGGTGAGGCAGTCAGGGTTAAGTAACAACCCCAGGGTCCCACAGCTAGAGTATGTCAAAGTGTCTGAGGCTGGATGTGAACTCAGGTCCTCCTGACTCCAGGGCCACTGTTCTATCTACCTAGCTGCCCCTCTAATTTGCTTTTTAAAATCTTTTTAAGCTCCTTCAGGATTTCATTTTGGGCCCGAGACCAAATTACATTTTTCTTTGAGGCTTCACATATAGCAATTTTTATACTAATGTCCTGAGTTTATGCCTCGATCCTCCCTATCACCATAGTAACTTTCTATAGTCAAATTCTTTTGTGTTTTCCTCGTTTTTTTCTGCTTTTTTGTGACTTGGTGTTTTTATACGAGAGCTGGCTCTGGTCCTGCACAGCTTTTTGTGCTGGGGCTCAGGTCTTATTGCTGGCTTTCACTGGGCTTCAGAACTTAGCTTCTTGTTTTCACTGAAGGGTAGGTTACCCTTCTGCCTTGTACTGAGTGAGTGGAGGCTGGCTGCTACTGCTCCTATATTTCACTCCTCTCTCACCCCAGTGAGATAGATCTTTCCTGCTGGGATGGTAAGCTGCTTCCCAGCTCCTAGACCAATTCTAAGGTTTTCTAGTTTTTGGATGGGAATATGGAAGGGCTTCAAAGGGTTCCTTCCTCACTCCACTATCTTGACACCAGAAGTCTCTACTGACTTTTGATAACTACAATTGCTCATCTACCTCAAGATCGCCATCCGAGTTAGTTTGCTTTTAAAATAGTCAATCGAGAAGCATTTATTAGTCTTAAAGGCTGTGAGGTAAAAATAAGGCTCCTGCCCAAAAGAAGTTATTATTAAAACAGGGGAGACATTTACATAAAAGGAATATGTAGGAAGGTAAATCAGAGGGAAGGGCAGCTAGGTGGTGCAGAGGTAGAATTCTGGGCTAGGAGTCAGGAAGACTCTTTTTCCTGAGTTCAAATCTGACCTGACATGTACTTGCTGTGTGACCCTGGACAAGTCACTTAACCCACCTGCCTCAGTCTCCTCATCTCCAAAATGAGCTGGAAAAGGGAATGGCAAATCATTTCAGTATCTTTGCCAAGAAAACCCCAAATGGAGACATGAAGAGTTGGACATGACTGAAATGAGTGAACAAAAATCTGAGAGGGAAGGCTCTCTTTTTAAAGAAACTTTCAGCCACAAAGCAGGGCATGGTACTCTCAAGACGAGCTTCACAGCCTTGCTTTGTGTACTTGACGTGTCCCCTTAGTAATCTGAGATTTGAAAATCTGTTTGGTTATCATTGTTAGTGATCTTTTCATTAAAACTGATTTATACCTTCATTTTTCATCATTCCATCTTTTTTTATTCCCTAATTTTGATGAACTCCCTTCTTTGGCTTCCTTTGGGCACATTATTTTGTTCCTTTTAAATCTTTTTTTTCAGCAAGATTAAAAGTACTTCTAGGAATTGCTTTGGTTGCCTCCCATTCATTGTGACATATTTCTTGTTTTGTCATTACCTTTGAAATTAGTCTGCACAAGACATGAGTTGGTCATAAATGTATTTTCAATCTTGTCATAATGTTTAAGTTAAAATAATGAATTATCCATGCCTCCAAATGCTGTATTTCCTCTTGGCTGTATTCCCAAAATGTCTGCACCTGGAAATCAGCATAAACCTTGCTCCCAATTGCTACTTCCAGACTTTTCCTAACTTGTAATCAGTCTCTCTCTACTTCATCTTTATATGCAAACTTTTCCAAATAACTATCATGAGGACTCAAAAGGGCACTTCTGTCAATGGATTTGACATCTGCCTTCCAATCTTCTTTTCCATCTTTCACCTGCCACCATAGATTTACAGAGAGACTGTAGAGGGCAACTAGTCCAACCCCTTCATTTTACAGCAAAGGAAATTGAAGCCCAGAGAAAACTGACTTTCCTTAAGACACAAATTTTGTAATCTGATTCCAAATCTAGTACTATTTTCAAACACATCAAGATCCACTGTTGCAATTACAACATCCATCTCAATGACCTCATTTTCCTCACTCGAAGTCAATTACCCTCATCTTCATTTCATGAGTTAACATAGTTTGTGGCTGAAAGTTTCTTTAAAAAGATAATTTAGTCCATTTTTGACCTGGAAGTCATATCTAAAGTTTTATATTCCTGTGAGTTTACAACTACTCTAAAACTCACACCTCTTCAGTACCTGATGCCTTTGTTTCCCACATTTGGAGAAGTGGATATTGGAGAGCTCTTCCCAGACCTATTTAAGGAAGAGGGCCCAGGGCAGACAGATACTCCCTGGCTCAAGATATTCTTCCTCTCCCCTGCCCTTTTCATTTTTTTATGTGGTTGATCTCTTCAAATTAAGGGACTGCCTTTTTTTGTATCCCCAGCACTGAAGACTGCCTGGCACATAGTAGTTAGCACTTAATGTTAACTGACTCTATCTTCTTACAAATAAGATTGAGTCTCCAAAGTGAATGGGTCCTTAACTTGATGAAGGTTTAAAAAAAAAAAAAGCAGACTTCAAATATAAGCCTTTTGATTATACTCAATCCTACTTCAGTTCACTCCCCTACCAAATTCACTGCCATTCAATAAGCATTGACAAAATGTCTCATATGTGCTAGGTGTGAGAGATACCAAACACTATGAAACCTAGGTTGGTTGTATCTTAACCCTATCCATGAGAATAAAGTTCTTTGGTCCCTCCCCTTCTCTTCAGTCCATCACCCAAATTCTAGTCTTATTTCCTCTTGTTACCCAGACATTTCAGTCCTTCAATCTTATGACTACCACCATACCATAGCATCCCCTGTCCACTCCCAACTTGAGATAAGCCATTAAAATGAATTCCTTCAACTTTCTTTACTGTCCTAAAAATGTTTTCCTAATCCCTTTACTCCAAGAACCCTTCTAGCCCAGGAGTTCTTGATCCTATCCTCTTAGTCAAAACTTTTTTCATTTAACAATCTATTCTCATCAACCTCTCCTCTCTTGGATCTGATAAAACTGATTACTTTTACTTAAATCAAAATTCCTCTTGAATTTATGCTTATTCATTTCAAGTTAGTTCTTTTATTGGAAAATTCATATACTTTATTCTGGCTGCTTGTGAATTATGCAGGTTATTGTACTATATAAGGCTGGATATTACATTATAGAAAATTTATTACAGTTTGCAGTATCAGCCTGAACTGGGAAACATTGGAAAATAAAAATCCTAAGTTCCTTTCCAAGCCTTAAGTTCCACAGTTGTCAACTGAAAGCAGAAAAAGGGCACAGAACAAAAGAGGGTAATCATGTCCATTTTTAATGACTTTCACGTTACAATAGGCATCAAAAGATAAAGCTGTAGAAAAACAAACCATTTACCTTTGGCTTGAACAATTTAAGGAATTCTAAACATGACAATATCACATTACTTTGTTGTACCCACTCACCCTAGGAAACTGACAAGATGTTGAACTTTCCCACAACCATTTATGAGTAGCTCAGGTAAAATGGATCTTTGCCTCTGATCCTAAGGACACAATGAACTTCAAAGACTGTAACCAAAAAGTCGATTTTAATCTGGAGCCCATGGTAGGAACAAGGGATGAAAAAGGTTCTTATATAGGTCAGGACATATATGGTTGCAAAGTTCACTTTAAAAACCAGAATGAAGCAAGAAATTGTGCATCCAAACTTCATATAGCCTTTATTCATACAAATCAACTGAAGAGGTGCCTTCCAAAATTTATCATAATACCACAACCATTCTCCAGAAATTAGGTTCTTTAAATATGGTTTATAGGTGGTCCAAAAATCAAGTGCAAACAGGAGATACTGGTGGTTTCCAGCCAGCACAGAAAAGACTGGAAGAGTAGGAATGAGGGAAAGGGTACTTACTCTGAATGACTTTTTTTCAGGAAGCTCATCCATGTCTGGAGGTAAATGGACAGTGTCTGTGCTGCCAACCTGAATATAAGTCAGGCACTGTCTTTTAGACCTATAAGGAAAAAGGGAGGCCACTCACAGGAAATGGAGAACCTCACCAAAAGAGGGATCTGATGACAAAAGCAAAAGGCAGATTTTTATTCCAAGTAATTTGAGTAAAAAAAAAAAAACCTTTGTGAAGGTCAGTTTTAATATTTCACCACAAAAGCCTGCAATGCATTTTAACAAATAAAACATTTAATATTTTGGCCTTTCCTATTAATAATTTAAAATAACTGAGAATTACATTCAAGATCACTTTATCCAAAGTAACCATAAAAGAGTTAACACAGAAGAATGTGGCCCTATGAGTCTATTTCCAACCTGAAAAAGAAAAAAAAAACTTGATTAATATATATGTATATATATAAAAATATAAATAATTGTTAAATGAAGGGATAAATTTACTTTAAACTAGCCAAATAAGAATTTTTTGTATAGGGGTGGGTTGGGGGGGGGCGGCGGCGGTAACAGGGGAGGGAAATAAAAGAGGTCTTTCCTACTTAAGACCTTCCCTAATCCCAAATGGAAGTACCTTAAAACAAAAGCTAGAATACATATTCACTTTTGTCTTGTATCCCCAGTGCCTGGCACATAGACACTTACATACTTACTGATGAATTGATGGAAGCAATTTTCTAATTCCAGTAAATTTACTGGTCTTACAACCGGAATTCCACCATTTACCTTTCCTTGTCATCAAAAAGCTAGCCTACTGTGGAATAAAGGACTGATCTCAGGATTACTAATCAGTATATTATTACAGAATTCAAAATTACGTTTTATCTAATGTAAAAATTCTTTGTACTTAGACATTTTCACACAAGAATTTCAGAAGGACTTAACTACCAGTATTTTAATTCTTGCAGCATTTTTCTGAAATAGGCATGGAGAAATGGCCTCATGGGATAGACTCACATTACAAGTAAGGAAGCAAAAAAAAGTTTTCCTCCTAATTCCTGGAGGCAGTTTTGCATGATAGTTACAGAGTTAGCCAAAGCAAGAAATGCCTAGATTCAAGGCCTTCCTCTGCACAGACATTATCACGCTAAGAATATCATGGTACCTGGCACTGAATTTCTCAGATCTTGGCGGGTGCCAGATTAAATGGTAACTGGGAAATGGTTAACAAAATAAATAAACATAGAGCATGGAAAGATGTTAATTTATGGCTTTGTAAGTTAATAAGCTGTGCCTAAGTTTCTATCTGGAATCTGACAGAACTGCTCTTGGTAAGCTCTCCTGCTCTAGGACTACAAAGCACCAATGAAATTCTACTTCTACCTTCTATTTTGGATCTTTCACAATCAACTTCTGTTGGCTTTTTCCAGTTTTTGAGAAAATGAATGAGTACACATCCTTACTAAACTAGCATCTTTTAAATATGTGAGTTAAGATTTTGTTCAATGATATCTATCGATGACCTATTTAAGTCTCAACAGGAAACAGAAATCTTACTATTTCTTTGTAGCTTGCTCAGGACAGAGCTGGGCAAACAGTACAGGTACTTAGAAGTTAGGCTAATTTAAACTGCTAATGCTCTGTTCTGTCAGAGATTCTGGAGGAAATGGTTAAGGATTTATAAATTACTACAAATTAATATAAATATTCATGAGAATGACCTGACATTTAATTATTAACAAGGTAATTTCTTCCATAAATATTTAGTTTGTCATAAGTAAATCTGAATAGTAAATAGGCAATATTGACTATAACTGTTTCCTTCCAAATTTAAGTTTTACTGATGCTTTTTGTTTTCTATCAGTCATTTCTAGATATACCTTCATATAACCCCAAAACACTGTTAACAAATATAACTGACTTTCAAAGGAAAATAAATATTTAAAAATAATTTACCTGCCTGCTGATGAGAATAAAATGCTCTCTCTTGCCTTCCTCTACTAACAAGGATATAAGGATAGGCCTTCTAAAAGCACATGTCAAAAGCTAGTATTGATGTTGGAAAAGCGGTAGATGCAGCTGAAGGAACATTGCATTAGAAAGCAGAGATGTGAGTTCCATCCCAGCCTGACCCATTTCCATGTCCCCTTCTCCCTACATCCCTTGCAACGGGGCAACATTGGGCAAGCCACCACCTTGGTCTTCAGTTATTAAGTGGAGAACATGATACATCTCTGCCCAAAAGTTGGACCAGATGATATTTATTTTGGGTCCCTTACAAGTGGCAGAAAACTCTCAAATCTTAAAGGCTATGGCAGGAGACTATTTCCAACAGATACTACCTAAGCTAGAAAGTTAATAACCACAGGTCCAACAAAAAAAAAAAAAGTGTAAGAAGACCAGTTTCCAAAACCGAGAGAGGCTCGTCACCAAAAGTTTGGCCACCAGATGATGAATTCTCTGACCAAGGGAACTCATGAAAGAAAAAAAATATTGAGGGCATGAAAGAGAGTCAATCTGCATATAGAGGGAATTACCAAATGGTTGAAATCACAGATCTTTAGAAATTTTGAAGATGCATTCCAGTAACAGCATCCATCCATCTCACCATGTGTGCCACAAGAAGTGCTGAGCCTTCTGCCAATGATCATTGGAATTTTATCACTGGTCCAGCTAAAAAATTCAATATATCAGACTTGAAATATTTTTTAAATTTTTATTGATATATTTTTATTTTTACATCACCTTTATTTTCAAATATATCCCTCCCTTCCCAAACAAGCAAGTCATCCCCTATAACAATGATTAAAATGAAAGAAGAAAAAGAAGCTTTTTAGTAAAGCAAACCGATGCATCAACTGAGTCCAACAGTTCATGTAATGTTCCATTCCCAGTGTTCCCCACCTTAGCAGAGATGGGAGGGAGGTACGTTTTCATTCATCTTTCCCCTGGGGCAAAGCTAGATCTTAGAGCAACACAATATATATTTTTAGGTTTTTGTTCTTTTGATTATTATTTTTTTCCTAGTTTTGCTTACTTCACTCTGCATCAGTTCATAATTCCTCCTATGCTTCATATTCATTTCTCACAGCTTGCACAGCAATTTGTTTGGCCATTCCCCAACTGATTATTATTTACTTTGCTTATAATTCTTGGCTACTACAAAAATAGCTACGTATCTTTTTCTTTTCTTTTTCACTTTATGAGGCCTTTTTTTTGGTCTTTAAATTCAGTGGCATATACTCATAGCAGTAGGATTCATGGGTTAACTTTTTAAAAAGCTATGTGTGTGTGTATGTAAGTTATGATATATATAAAAATAAAAGTTATATATACTTTTTAAAAGCATAATTCCAAATTTCAGTGGGTCAAATCATAGAAACACAACCAGTGTATAGTGTGCCTCTTGTTATACAGTCCCACTAATATTGACTATTTTCATCTGTTGTTATTGTTGTAAATATGCTAGATTTAAGGTGAAATCTCAAGAGTTGTTAAAAGTATTATTGATGATAATTTCAAGGTTTCTAGAAATGCTTCTTCTCTACTATTTAAAAAATAGAATGGAAACATTTCTGTCTAAACTCGATTTCAGAGACATTTCCCCTTTCCAAGTGCTCAGTTTCAAAGAGCTGATCTTTACTTAAGGTCTTTTCTAGCTTTAAACCCTATGATCCTATTTTTAAAGTATTCACTAAATGCTTTATATAAAAGTATCCTTTCAAAAAATCTCATTTGAAAATTCAGTCCTATCAGCATGAACTTGGAAATAGGATAATGGAAAAACCAATGCTCACACTGATCTGATTTTATGTTCACAAATGGATTATGGTAAAATAGAAAGAGCACAGAACTTGGAATCAAAGGACAACCAGGATTCAAGTCCCAAGTCTGCTAATGATGGTCTAAGTGATCTTAGAAAGTCACTTCATTTGTCTATTATGAGTGGCTCCCTCACCACAAAAAACCAGTCCCGTGGAAACATACCTCCAAACTTACACCTTTCACACTGGTTTAGATATTGCCTACACTGGCATATGTCATAATCCTCCACATATTCTTAATAAACTGAAACATAAAATGCACATTAATAGCACTTTTCTCTTATTCATTAAACTAAATATTTTTCTTTCCCTTTCTTCTATTACTATTTTCAATCCATAGGAGGTGAATTTAATGAGTCACAATAGAATCAGTAATTATAGTATATAGTAATTATGGCCTTAATGTTTTGTTTTCTTTTCTGTTTTTCTTTCTATCAAGCAGTGAACACCACGGGCATTGAAAGATTCTGAATAAAAATTAAGAAGCTGAGTGGGGGGAAAATCACCATGTCAAATATCTCAGATACCTAAGATATACAGAAAACCACAATAAATACATAAGCCTAAGAGCCATTCCCCAATAGTTAAGTAGTCAAAGGACATAAAGATTTCAAAAGAATTATAAATTATCAACAAAACAAAGAAAAGATTTTTTCAAATCACTAATAAGAGAAATGAAAATTAAAATTATTCTAGTGTTACACCTCATACTCATCAAATTGGAATAGCTAAAAGAAACAGTTGATGTTGATGGACCAATGGATAATCTGTACACTAATATACTGTTAGCCATAATGTGTTTATAAACATCTGGGGACACAATTTGAAATTATGCAAGAAAATCCAGAGATAAGGATTTCATAACCCAGAATCTGTGATTTTTTTAAAAGACTCTATTTTGATAGCTATTTTAATATAATTGGTTTCCTGTGTAATTCTATGTATTTTTATTGTATGAATTTCAAAATATTAAAAACAGGTTTCATCAGACTACCAAATGGGTCAAAAATGCAAAAAAGGTTTAAGAACCACTGTGTGAAACTGTACGTATTCTTTGACCCAATCATTACTCATATATCTTTATGACCAAAATTTAAAAAAAAACCCCAAAAAACAGCAAAACCCTGTAAATTATAGAGGGTACACATCACTTGGAGAATGGCTGAACAAAATGTAGCATATTAATAAAATTATTGCATTATAAGAAATTACCATAAAGAGCACAAACAATGGGAAGACTTGGATGAACTGATGCAAAGCAAAATAAGCAGAAATGCAAGACTATACAACAATGAGCACAATAGAAACCAAAAAGACTAAATGAACCCAAACTATGAGTAATTATAATGAATAATCTTGGTCCCACAGAAAAGAAGATGAAATGCCCTCCCTTCAACCTTTTTATCAAAAAATGTTATTGCTTAGTCGTTTTCAGTTGTGTCCGAATCTTTGTGACCCTTTTAGGATTTTCTTGGCAGACATACAGAATGGTTTGCCATTTCCTTCTCCAGCTCATTTTGCAGATGAGGAAACTGAGGCAAACAGGGTGAAGTGACCTGCCCAGGGTCAACTAGTAAGTGTCTGAGGCCAGATTCCAACTCAGGAAGATGAATGAGTTTTCCTGACTCCAGACCTGGCACTCTATCCACTGCACCAGCTAGCTGTCCACAAGCATGGGATAATAAATTTGACCAAAGGTGGCAAACATGAAAAAAATTTTATAGGTGAGGAAGCTGAGGCAAATAGGGTTAAGTGAATTGCCCAGGGTCACACAGCTAGTAAGTATCTGAGGTTGGATTTGAAGTCAGGAAAATGGGTCTTCCTGACCCTGACACTGGCACAATATTCACTGTGCCACTTAGCTGCCCACTGTCAAAAAGTAAGGGATTGCTAATTTAGAATGGTATATGTATTATAAGATTTAATCACTGGCAGCTGGCTTAGCTTAGTCAGCCATTTTGCTTTCTTAGAAGGTAAGATCCAATGTGATGTAAAAATAAAAAACATCAAATAAAACTAGCACCTTATTGATCCAAAATTCATTCCAAAGTTGGTTCCCCAAAACTTTTATAAAATCCAAGTGCAACCCATAATCAGTTTTATTTTTCAACACATAACTATTTTTATCATTAAAATTTCTAATTTTAAGGATGAAGGCAGTATTCAATTCACTGCTGTAGCAGGAAGGGGAAAATATAGTTGGAGGTTCTGATTTTTAAATCGGCTAAAATTGAAAGGTTCCAACTCTAGAATTCCTAGTTTAATATTTGCTTAGAATTTGAAGGAAGAATACACAGCTTCTGTCCAAGCAAAATTTAATAATAAGATTCAAAATGTCAGCAAACTAGATGGCAAAAAAAAAAAAAAAATTACTACTGAAAATATTCTCCTTTAAAGGGCCTAAGAAAGTCTCCTTACTAATTTGACCAGAGGTCATTCTCAAATAGAAGCTATACACATTAAATGAACTCTTTCTGAAAGTTATAAATAGGGGTATATACTAAGAAATAATTACAAAAATTTCCATACTAAAAATATTTACTATGACTTTATTAACATTTCTTTTAGTTCAACTGATGTTTTTATTGATTGTGATCAATACTAATGGATCACTTTTGCTCTCTTTCTCTTGATTATGAATTTTATTCAGATGGGGGAATCAATAATGGGACCTAAAAAGCATCACCTCAACCTTCAATTATACTCTGAAGGGACAGAAGTAGGGGAAAAAAAGAAGAAATTTTCATTAAATAATAGGTCAACAGATATTAAATAAAACCAAACAAAGTTACATACCAGAAAAGGTATCCTGAATTCAGCATTCCTATTCTGATCACATCTTTTCTCCTGAATTACAAATGGAACAAATTTTAGGAAACGTCATCCATATTTTCTTACTTTACCATCATCTTAGGAAGAGAATAGAACCACATTAGGCCATTAAAAATTCCTAGCTCATTGAAAAAATGTAAAATGAAGACTTATATGGCATTATAATGGAATTCAGGAATTACAAGTATAATAATCACCTTTTAATCTACATTAACCTGAGATATAAATTTGACACATGTCTAAGTAAACATAGTTCTGCTTCTGTCCATTTTCTCCCACATTTAATAAAATTTCTAAAACTTAAAAAAAAAAAGCCACCAAACACTCTGATCATGGATAACAATCAACTTCACATAAGCTAAAATTAACTTTTCTAAGCAAATAATCTATAAATATTATTGTAAAATATTAAGATACCCAAAAAAACCTTTTACTATTTCAGAAATGTGACTGTACTGGCCTCAGCCAACTCCTGTGCCCAAAATTTCTGAGTAATTTTTCCAGTGTTTTTCTACTTTTATAATCTCAAAAAAATAGGAATTGATTTTTACAGGTAAGCTTATATTTCTGTATAACTATATAATAGAGAAAACAGTAAAAAGGTAAAAGATGAATGCAACAACAATCAATGACTGTGCAGTGTTCAATTTTTCAGGTGAAATAGATTTGGTTTATTAATATGACTGTAATATTTGTTACTTTGAAAAATGTTAAAAACAAAAACACCTCACTTAGATTAAAACAGCTAACTACAAGTTAATTGAGCCTTTTTCCTCAATGGTTAGGCCTGAAGTATTTATAAAGAAAACACATATGTCTCCTTACCCCCAAAAAAGTTAGAATTATAAACATTAAAAAAAAATGAAAAAAAAAAAAAAATTAAAAGGTCAGGCACCAGAAAGAGTGGTTCATAATTTGGCCTCAAAAAATGTTTTTAAGGAGTACCTAATGAATCAAAAGAAAATCAGAAAAGGTCTGAAATATCAAGTGTCCAAGACCTCCCATTGAGGTAAACCTGTTAAATAATATGGAAGGTTAACCAATAGTGAAAAATGCATAAACTATGCAGACTAAGTATTAAGAGGAAAAAAAAATCATTAACTGTGATCTGAACTCTGACTGTGGAACAACTATTGGGCAAAGATTTCAACAAGACTAATCCAATACAAATTATACTTTTTAAAAAAATTGTAATTTTTAACTTCCCATCCAAAACAACCAAAGTTCCTGAAGGAAGCTTTCCTTTACCTTACACCTCATATTCTCAAGCCCAAAATATAATTTTTCTCAAACAGAATTAGAATTTTTAACAATGAACACCTCTAATATATTTCTGTGGCCTTTAAATTGGAGCACATATTTAGAGGTACTTAGAACCTTTTTAAAGGAAAGGGGAGTAATGCGACATGGAAGATATAAAAATGAATATATTTTTCCTCCTCCTTCCACAAGACTGTGAATCAGCATTTATGAGGTTATACCCAATGCATTCTCACAACTGCATCAGAATCAGACTCCACATTTCCTTTAAAAAACAAGGTCACATTTTAAAAACATTGACAATCCAGTGAGAAAAGGCAGTTACATTTAAAGTTCATATAAGTTTTAGGAGGGCTACTATATGAAACAATACTTAAAAAGTTTCCTGACATATCATGAATTCTAAAAACCTCATGAAACATCAAACAACTTACTATGCATTTGTACAGAATAATTTACCAAAAAAAAAAATTTTTTTTTTACCTAAAGACAGTGAATTCCACTGAAGCAAAACTCTTCTGGCTTTCAGTCAGAAGGAAATACATTCTGATCATGCCCATTATCATCACACAGAAAGAAGAGCTTCACTTCTGGGATGCACTCAATCCAAAATGTACTGGGAAATGGTGGGGAAGGGAGGAAAGGGGATAGTTTCTCCATGCTATCAAATAGTGCTCCCAAGATGAATGGTCAGGAACAATGTTCATATTTGCATTTACTCCTTTGCCTTCATGGCTAAGATGACAGACAACACCATTGGTAGCTAAAGAGGGGAAGAGAAAAAGAAAGAAGTCATTGGTAGAGAACTCATGTAACAACCAGAATATATTCCAAACTTTTCCCTACAGGCTCATTTTGTTCTTGTGTTAGAATGACTATAATTCAAGGTTAAAAAATTGGACATATATGAAATACAAACATATCTGAATGTTGCTAAGTGATGACCATATTGAAGAAATATATATTATAGAACTAGCACTATCCGAAATAAGAAAAGGTAGAGCACAGTAACAATATTCCATAAGATTTTGTAAATATACTTCAAAGTAGTGGGGCTCAAAGTACATTTTTGAAGCAATAAAACAAAAATAAATGTCAAGTAATGTTACCAAAACTTCAAATATTAATAAGTATATTCTCATTAATTAAAAATTACACTAGCGTTTTAGAAATTTGTGCAATTCAAAATTGTGTAACAGGAGAGTCAAACTAATTCATATCTCCACCAAAAGTGCTCTGTATTCCACAACCTTTCAATACTGGTGACTCTTCAACTCTTGCCATTTCTGACAAACTGCTGAATGTTGAGGAGAAACCTTATTTTGTTTTGATTAGTATTTTTCTTATTAATGATTGAGAGCATTTTTTCATGTGTTGGTTACTTTGCAAATCTTTTCAAGTGAGTTTGTGCCCTTTGATTGATAATTAATAGGGAATGGCTTTTGTTTTGTTACATTTTGTTTTTGTTAGTTGCATACATGTTTAGAATATTAGTCCTCTGTCAAAGATAACAGTATCTATAACCTTAAACTCAGAAATTCCACTGCTAGATATACTCCTAAGGAGGTCAATGAGAAAAAGAGAGGCCTAACATACGGGAATATGTTTTTAACATTGATTTTGGTCCCAGCAAAGAACTAAGAATACTGCATGGAAGGGCCTAACAAATTGTAGTATATAAATATAATGGAATATTAATGTGACATGAGAAATTAATTCTGAAGTATACGGAGAAGTATGACCCAATAAACTGACTCAAATTAAAGGGGAAAAACCAGGTAAACAATATACAGTGACAGCAACAATGTAAAAAGAAAAGAACAAGAATAAAGTGGAATATTCAAATGAAATGTTGCAAAAATAATGACCAAGCTTGTTCCCAGAGGAGACATAAGAAAAAACCTTTAACCTCTTTCCAGCTTCTTTGCCAAGAATGGGGACCAAGTGTGTAGAAGACTGTACATACATGGTCAAACCTTACTGATAGTCTGCTTTGTTTTGTGGTTCTGTTTTCTTTATTAAAAGGGACAGTTCTCAGAAAGAGTAGAGGGTGAGGGGGATACATGGCAAAAAAAGGTAAGATGTAAACCAAAGTGATCAATAAAAATTAACTAGGAAAGCAGCTGTGACAAATTGTTTCAACTCCTTATATTTAACATTTTCCTTTAAAATTCGTGTATTTAGTTTTTGGTGCCTACAATGTTATTTGTGAAAGAAAACATGGAAGGATTTAGTTCTAGATAATCTAATAAGTAAAATTCAGATTTAGTGAGGAAGACTGAACCCAAAAAAGTCATTAATGATCTGTTCAGATTGTTTCATTCTTTTATTTTTACTGCCAGCACTTATCCGAGTACTGACACATATAGTAGATGACTTAATTCATGCTTCTTGATTGATCTGAAGGTCTTTTAATAGAAGAGTCCACTATCTGTGATAGGTCCCATTCTGTGAGATGTTTTATCCCTGACTAGGTTGGGCTGAAGGAAAATGTGGCATACTCTAGAAGACACAAAGCTGGGGATGCTATCAAAATGTATGTCAGGACTCAAAAAGATTTCAAAAGGCTAAAACAATAAAATTCTGCTGGATCAAGTAAAATGAAAGTGAGAAGGGATAAATACAAAGTCTTATTATACATACCTTTTAAAAAATTCAACTTTGGAAGCACAAAATTGGACGGATATTGCTAGGGAACAGTCATTAGGAAAAGAACTAGGTGTTTTTAGAGTAAACTGAAAGCGCATTGTTAATAGTGAGACACTGAAGCAAAGAAAACTAAAGCAAACTTTGGCACCATTAAAAAAAAGTATGGGATCCATGTCTAGGTAGTTGTTCTATGCCATTTTAAGATCACTTTTAGAACATCATGTTCAAATCTGGACACCACACCTTGGGAGGAAACTCGTAAGATAAGCTGGAGGCAGGCGAAAGCAGCTAGAATGGGAAAGTGCTTGACAATCATATCGTAAGGATTTAGTGATGGAACTGAGGATTTTTTTTTTTGAGGTGGAAAGAAAATGCTTGGGGAAGAAAAAGAAAAGTAACAGATGTATTCAAGTACTGGAATGTCTGTCATGATAAAGACTAAAATTATGTTTGACTTCTATGAACAGGAGTTATACAAATGTGGAATGTGCTGAGTTGCAAAAAGAAGCACACTTAAGACTTAATATGCAAAATTAACAATTTAAAATTATCCAACAGTGCAATTGGATATTCGACAGAAGTCCTGATGACCTAGTTCAGGTACAGACAGCACTAGATCACCTCCATAGCTAGCTAATCTGCTGATAAATCTTACCAATTCTACCTAACACCTCCCACTGCCTTCTCTCCTCTGACACTGGCACCTCTGGTGAAGTCCAGTCCCTAATCACCTCATGGCTGAATTATTGCAATGGCAGGTTCCCCAAACCAATGCATTCATTCTCTGTTCAGCACTCAGAGATCTTAAAACATGTGGCCCACTTCAAATGGCTCCCTGAAACCTCCAAGATCAAATATAAGATTCTTTCTCTGGTGTTCAAAGCCCTTTGAAACCTTGACCCTACCAATTATCAGTCTTATTACATCTCTCCCTTATACTCTTTCCCTCACTCTATAATTTACAGTACAGCAACACTGGCATCTTTGCTGTTGAAAGAAAGGAAAGAAGGAAGGAAGGAAGGAAGGAAGGAAGGAAGGAAGGAA